TGTTGACCCCTCACGAACTTACCCGTCTGCAACGTGCTCATGATTTCAATTGCATACAGCTTCCCTGGGTGCTTGCGATAAAAATTCGATCGCATTGTTTATACTCGAGACGGCAGATAATTCCAGCTGTTCATGGTGCTTCGAATACAATTAGAATCTTACTGGTATAAGGCTAAGCTGGGAGATGAATTTACTGTGCTTGGGGAGGGCTCTACTAGGGAAGATGGAGGAGGTACTCGTTGATTTCGTCTTTTCATTTTTTAGTGTGGAGATTTGGTTTGGAATGAATGAAAAGAGCAGTTTATTAGCATTGATCTCAGAATTCAGTTACAATGAAAACTCAAGTCTCTCTTATCACATAAGTATACCACGAATATGGCACATTATATAACAAAGGAATACAAATCTTAAATAGCTGTCTACCCCCTGACATCAGCTTCGACAAACACCGATCAGCATCAGAGAGCTCGAATCGCGTAAAAAAAGAAAGCGAAAGGTTCCCGCGGTCTAAATTTCCCAGACGCGTCTAATTACCAGACGGCGCAGGCGGAAAGGAATTAAAACGTAAACGTCAAACACGAGGATAGGTAAGAAGAGAGCAATGTATCTCTGCTGGGCCGCGAACTCTTTACACACAATTACGTGTAGCAGGTGAACCGAGAGAGAGAAATATCACGTCGTGGACCGTGGTGGATAGAAGGTACGGTTACCGGTACCCGCGGTAATATCGCATCTCGAACAGCCGCCAGAGAAGAGGATGGTCGAGATTAGTTCCGATTGCTTGTGCGCCGCGGAGTTATAGAAGGGTTGCCCGCCTAAGCCAGCCATCGATCCCGGCTACCGGCTTCTGCCCGTTAATGAGTCATGTTTAATTGGCGTGGGAAGCTCGTGGCTACGTCCACCTAACGGAATTGAACTGTACCCGATGCAACAGTGCTGGCTGCTACGTAAATATACCAGCTGTCCGCCATCGATTGACCTTATATGTGTCCGGACAACCGATGGCAAATATAGAAAATCCTAATGAGCCTGCAATTCGTAACAGATTAGTGAGTGATATATTAGGTGCCGGAAAAAGTTACTCTCGATTTATTCCAGGATATTCGAGTTATCTGAACTAGTAATCTCAACGAGTAATCTGAACGAGGAATCTCTAGGAGTCGGAACGAGTAATTACTGTATTCGTAAAATTAGGAAGGATATTTCTACAAGATACTAGAAAATACATGAGATTAAAGATCCTAAATCCTCAAGTGTCCAAATTCAAAAATTTCTAAATTATTAATTCTCCAAATCTTTAACTGCCAAAATCGTTAAATTTCCACATGGTGTAGTCAACAAATCCTAATTTCCCAGACTATCAAATCTCCTAATCCTCACATCCACAAATCCTTAAAGCTCCAAATCCTCATGTCTCAAATTCCTATAATTCAAACCTTCATGTCCCAAATTTCTATATTCTAAATCGTCATACCCCAAATCTTCATTACCCAAATTCCTATATCCCAAATCCTCATACTCAAATTCTCATGTACCAAATTCCCATACCCCAAATCTTCTAATTCCCCAAACTCCCTAAATTCCAAATCCACTAATCCACAAATCCTCAAGCCCCAAATCCTAAATCCCAAAAATGCCCAAGTCACAAACCACCACATCACAAAAATCTCCAAATTCCCAATTTCCCCACCCCACTCGCCTTTCATCTCTACAAATCCAAAATGTCGATAAGAATCTCTCAGCGTCTGATCACAGTCCACACCATGGTTGCAACTGGCCGTGATCCGATCGACGGGCGTTTCATCTGCCCATCGCATCCCTGCTTTTCGCATTGCGAAATAAAGGTAAAGAGGACAAAGAACGTATTGTTCCCCGGCGAATATTCACAGCCGACTCGGATGATGGGCATACAAGCGATTCGTAGGACTTATTCACGGGTACGTGGCGCCACCCACAGGGTCGGGCTGTGTGATGGGTGTGACTCGTGTTGGTATTCGCGATACATATTACTACGTGGCACGGTAACGCAGAGAATACGAGAACCGCCTATCGCAAAAGGCAGACTCTCTTCTCGGGGGCTACGTCCGTCTAACCTAACCGGTGGCTCGTAAATGCACACCGAGTCGTGATTAGACTGGAGACAATGCTTGGTGGCGCGCGTTGCAAGCTTATTGTGCGTTTTTTAGCGCGTTCGACCGATGTCGTTTATTTGCATACCGGTGTAGTTAGGCCTGGCCTGACAGCAGCCTCTAGGAACTCGTGCGTAACAGTAATCCTTTGAAATGGCCTGTCTGACGCGTACCATCTGCCGCGCGCGACAACGCTTCTGCTCCGTGCCCGTTGTCGTTGCCATATACCGTGAATGCAGCGCGTTAAATCGTTGCCGTCTGAGAAATCGCGATTTGATGGTGAATGCCTCGCTGTCGTCAGTCTGTTGCCGTAAAACTGCGGATTCTTTCGGAAAGCGGTTTCAGCCATGTCGGGAATATGAGCTTCGACCGCATCATTCGCATCTTGGAATTTGTTCAATTATTGGGACAATTGGGCTCCTTCGAACAACTAATTTTTGTGTCAGTGTGGAACACCATATGTAACTGAGAGCTTGAAAAATGTTAACCGAGAGCTAACTTCAAAAGGCTGTGACTGGGTGAGGATAACCAAGGTGCCTTTGAATTTGGCTACTTTTCTTTATGAGTTGCTTTCTTGGTAGCAATAAACTTGTCTAAATATGAAGTTTGAAATATATATATTTAATGAAAAAGATGTTTTGAGTTGAAAAGCAAAATTTCTCCCAAAGAAGCAAACATTATCGACAAGTTAATTCTCCCTACATGTCCATAATTTTGCATATTTCCCTAACTGTCCACAAGCGTTAAATCTTCCAGAAATCCAGTTTCAAAACGGCGTTCGAGTTTTGCAGAGTGAAGCTTCAACAACCTGAATCGTACCAGAGAAGAAAATAACGTCTACCAATGAAATAGTCGCAAGAAAGTGTCAAGGTATCCCATGGTCAGGTTCATTGGCGTAGCCGAGATCCTTGTACGATCACATAGCTAAATCGACACCTCGAGTCGGTGCTAATCGCCTTTCCGCGTGTGACGTGCCGACATGTCGTGGTTCTTGCTAACAACCCTGACGGTCCCTATTAGTATCCCCATATATATAGACACATCTATACATATATATAAATGTATACGGGAACACTGACTCGTTCGCATAGTCGGCTGGCATCACGATTCGGGTGCCATCACGTACCGCATGGAATCGAGCGAGTTTCCATTCGCGGCCAATCGACACGAGCATCCATTCGGATCGATATCGATCGCTGATCGTGATCGCAAGCCGTAAACAAATGGAGATACCCTTGCAAATAGACGCGTCGGTCGAATGAAAAAATAGAATAGACACTTTGTGGATCGGTTTCAATGAAATGCAATTTGAACTCTCGTGAGGGAAAATTGATGTTTCGTATGGAGAACATCTTGGAATGCTTGGAAATCTTTCTTAAACGAGATGTCTGTTTTTTATAGAAGAAATTGTCTATTCTGTTCGTTGAATAGAATTTCTTAATTTTATTGCGCTGTTTAGTTACGGTTTTATTTTGCAGGACATAAATTGTATTATATCTAGAAATCTCTATACCTCCAGAGAACCATTTTAATCAATCGATGCCAACTAATGAAGTGTATTAATCAAAAGAATATCGATGGTCTTACATCATTTAATATTACGCCGTTACAATTCGCATATTTATAAAGAGCATCGATATTCTTCGAGCACATCTTAAGACACGTGTAAGATTCAATTTTTCAATGTACCAACCGCAAGTATGTTATTTCTTATCTTTCGATTAATAATTCATCACTGTATTAGTACTGAATTCGAAATTCTTAGTTTCACGATTTCCAGAAAGATTACAGGTTATTCAGCTTCTACCGTGACAAGCTTGAAACGATCGAGCAATATTATTAAAGCTGCAGACCCTTCTTACCGAGCCAATACCAGACGGAACGTAAACCGGTCTTTAATGTATAGACCAATTAGATTTGTAACCCAGAACTCAAACTCAAATCGACCGTTTATCAGATCACTGTTCTGTCAATCAACCTGCTCGAGTCATCGTACTCCACCCTAAGCTCTAAGTGTCACCTATCAGTCTAATATACTTATGTATGTAGATAAACATTGTACGCAAATTGTGCTTTGTTCACATGCAGAACGTTTCTGTTTTTGTTTATCGATATGTCGTAACCTGTAAGTGATCGACTCAAAACTGATTTGAATATTTGATTGATTTGACTGATTTTGCACTTAAAATGTCGTTAAGCGAAAAAGTATATCTAATTTCCATAAGTTTTAGATGTGAACGAGTAAGGTAAAATCTCATTAAAAACACTGTTCAAACTTGGAAAAGACGCATGAGGTTATACTAAGTAATTACAAGTTTTAGTTTTGGTTTACGAAATTTTGTATTAAAAATAATTTTATGAATAACGATCCATGTTCTACGAGAGCAAACTAGTTATGAATGGTGAAGTAATAATTAAACAAAAATCTTGATCAATAATAATTCTCTGTATATATTACTTACATTAAATTTGTAATTTAATATCTCTTTAAGAACTATCAACATTAAATGCACACTCATTTTTTAAATAAAAATAAAGTGAGAAAATAAATAAGTAAATAGTGAAACATTTTGAAAAAAATATAACAAATATTTCAACGAATATTTTTAAATTATTTTAAAGTAAAACTTCTGAAATTTTGTGACAAAATGTGAAACCAGAAAATTTGAAATTTTAAAAAAGCAACAGTGTCAAAAATCAAGAAAGACCAATTTGACTAATCTAATGCAATTAATTTGCATGACGATAATTTTGAAGATAGAATCCTTAAAGAGGTTAACCCTTTAAATGGAACAACCCTGCGAATCGTGTCTGATTCACCCGTAGAAGAATAGTAGAGGTGCATAATAGATAGGAGAAAAAGTGACGTACCTCCCTAGACGTTGGTGCCCCCAGGAAGCAGGGGCTGTCCGGGCGGCGGGGCGCGCTGGCCCACCGCTTGCTCGAGAGCTCGCTCTCATCCTGAAACAATAAACGTGACCTGTAATTAGACAAGACGAAGGTAAAGGCGATAGACGGTCAGTCTTGATGAGCGCTATTATAGCAATCGTAATGAACCCCTTGGAAACCAAATTGCTGTTCGCAGAAAATTAGCGAGAAAACAATGGGCGGGATGTAACCGGTGAATTTGCACTAGGCTATTCACGAAAACTCAGGGATCCATTTCGATTCTACTAACTCGATATTTTAATGGATGACAATTATAGTGATATACGTTGAATAGTTTAATATATTGATTCGCGAATGTGAAGACTGGAATTGCTTGACATGAAGGCATAGGGATGGGGAGGTTATATATTTGGGAATCTGGGAATTATCAAGGTTGGCAATTTGAGGATCTAGGAATTTTGGGATGAGGTATTTAAGAATTTAGGGATTGCTTAGTTTAGTAATTTGGGGATCTAGAAATTTTGGAGTGGGGAGATTAAATATTCACAAATCTAGAAATTTAAAAATTTTGAAATTTTTGAATTTGGAAATTTGGAAATCTAAAAATTGTGGGATTGATAGATTATAGATTTAGCAACGTAGAAATTTGCAAAAGATACTTTCGAATTTCAAAATTTGTGAATATGAAAATTTGCAAAAAACTAAAATCATAGGTTTGTCTTACATTTCAACTTCACATTTCTATCACATATTTTCAACTTCTTTTCCACATAAACTCCTCTATTGATCACTTACACCCTGTATAATTCGTGAAACGATTTACGTTGATACCGCAGCGCGATGCGATCTAAATTATTCGCGCGCAATGCATCTACCACCATTTCTTGGCGACCATTTCTTTTGTTTCGCTCGAAATGACTGTTGTAATTGATCCATTATATCGCCCCCGGTGTTCCCCGACAGCTCGTACGAGTGTTGGCTTAATCGTGTCGCAAAATGCGATTCCACGAGCTGTTTGCAGTCGCATCGATTCGCGTCGGCGCCGCCGGAAAATTGCGTTCGATTCCGTGAGTGCGTGTTTATTCGTCCGGGCCACACAACGCGAGCCACGCCAGCTCGACGACCAACCAGAGGAGGAAAAAATCGCGGAATATCGCGGTCGTAAAACGACACGGGTTATATGTTGCAATTTTTATGCTCGCGCTTATCAGAGAAGGCGCAGCGAAAGCTGAAAATTTACATGCGAATAAACGCGATGCAGTGTCGATCTAACGGTCTACGTTTATGGCACTTCGAACCATTCGAATTTGATGTTTTAATGGAAAACTGACTGTAAATGTTAATCAGTCAGATTTTATATATGTTGTGCTTCTTTTTGGTCCATGTAGGGCCACATTGGTTTTGAAGGTACCTATTGTTTTTAATATGGGTAATGGTGGTTGGAAAAGCAAGGTTTATTTATTTTTTATTTATAAATTTTGACGAGACTCGATCTATTGGATCTTATAAATAATTCAGATAGATTGGTTAAATGTATATATTTTTATTTATTTGTTAATTATGATAACCGAAAATACTGTCATATGGTTCGTACTTTTGGAATACATTTTATTGAAAACTTTCTTGAGCTATTATGAGCTATTGAGCTAATAATGTTGCTAAGTAACTTAAGAAGTCTAAAGGACTAACTCTCTGTATGTTAGATAATATATATTATTTTTCAATAAGATAATGCAAGTATTTTTTTAAGCAGATATTTTTTAAAATGTCTAAAAAAAAGAACTACAAGTAGAAATCATAGTAATATGAGAACCAATCAGTTACTTTACGTGAAACTTGATGTATCAACTACCTATAAAATTCAGTGATATGAATTCTTTGTAACAGAACTTGAGTATCGAATAATTATATAATGTATGTTCATCATATGAAATGAATGTTATTCCACATTTTCGAATACTATTTGTTCGCTCGTTACATGATAGCCTGCGTGTATCGTTACAATTTCCAATCAGTTATCCTGACTGACGAGATAAAAGTAAACGCCTCTTTCCTACCCGTAAGATATTGCAGTCTTATGTAAGCAAAGGTTTCATTAATTATATAGTGATATAGAAGAGTATATCGTTTCATTAATAAAAGCATACATTTCGGAGCATATACTTACATCTCTCGTAACAGTAATGTCTCAATACGACAAACCGTAAAATATTGTCACGTGTCGCAACCGCAATAAAGTCTAGCAAGGAACCGCCTTCTTCGCGATCATTTCGATATCGCTCAATTAATGAGCATTATCTTCGATACGAGGCGTCAAGTTTACGAGCACCTCGCGCGATTACGAACCGATTCCTTCTGACGATCGTAAAATTAAAGAGAAACGATCCGGAGGTGTAGTTAACAGGGTGAAAATCCATTGCGAACGCTCCACGAGGTTTTACCATGTTCAGACCGGACCGTTGTGTTATTATTCTCGTGTTATTATCATATATTGCATTATTACGCAGTCAGTTGCAACAGTTGCCGATGTTACGTTTACTTTCGCTAGATTTCTCCTATTTCCCGTAATACGTCGAGATTGCGGCTGAAATTGAATCGGCTCCTTTGGACACGAAACCCCAGCGTTAACGAGACCAACAGTTTCTCCAAACTCATCGATTACGGAGTCGAAAGAGTTTCGGCTTTAGAGGGAAAACTCTTCTCTCTGGCTTATATTACAGCGCATAATATATTTATCGCAATAGTATATTTATTGTACCGCGTTGTGCAAATAAAACTCATATTTTATATTTCATATTATTTTATGTGGCACATCTGCAACGAAGGGTTAATCCGTTTGTCACTTAAATAATCTTTAAACCTGTTTTTCTCGAGAACACTAAAACTGCATTAAACGGTCGGATCCTCGACATCTCGAGGCTAATAACCGAACCAGACATTTACGATTTTTTGAATCGCGAGAGACACGAACGCGAGTTCGTAGCCACGCGAACTCGTCGGTTTCGCAACGATAAAATAATTCTACGAGCTACAAAGCTGCAACGCGATGAAGTCGCTGCGATCGGTAAGTTGCTCGCGCGAGAGGGCGCGATTAAATGCAAATGAGAGCCCCATAAAAATAGCGCCTTCAACAGGAAAATTCCTAATTAACGAGCGGTGAAACGGCTCACGGACGAGCTGCCTCTTAATTATCAGAGAACGTGGATGCCCGATCTACATTTATGAACGCGGGCATAAACGCAAGCCGATCGGATCGGCACGGTAGTAGTACTACACGGTACGGAGGCGTGCACGCACTCTTCGGCCCTGCCTTCCTATCGTTCCCACGCCGTCTTTATCTTCGCTAATGGATTACGGAGCTTTCAAAAGCTCGCTCTGGTAAAAGTCTTCCGCGACCGTTTCGAACGGTTAATCCGTTTGGTGCATCGCGTTACGTTGCGGCCCGGCCATAAATTAGAAAACTTTCGACCGTAAAAACAACGCGGTGGGAAATGATTTGCAACATCGTGGTAGACTTACTCGAGCGAAACCGTCGATTTCGTTGGATGAACATACATTTGTAAATTTGGAAATTTATTAATTCAGTTTTTATGTTTGTACGTTTGTAAATGTTCGGTTATTGGATTTAAAATTTTTCAAGTATCTGAATTTTTGAATTGTGATGTTTCGATCAAATTTAATGAGTGATCTCCCTCGTTTGACATCTCCTAGGGAAACCAGATTTGACGTCGACTGTACGTTCCGTCTCCTCCGCGACAGCGATGCGGCCGGGCTTCAGAATAATGTATGAAATCATCGACGAATGCGAGCGCGTCCGCTTGCGCCCATTCTCCATATGCAGCCTGTGGCTGTAAGGAGGTGAAACGCTTACGCAACACGGGGCATTAGCGGAATATTTATAACGTTAATCGTCGAACCGGGCTGATTACGCGCCCGTTGCACGTTGCGATCGAAAGGACGATCCCCGTTAATCCGATCTCGCCCCCAATCTTCGCACGTTCCTTCCAACCGACGATTTGATAATATTCCGTGGCTCGACCCGCGATCGTGTCAGATCGCTTGTCCGAATATGTACCCTTCTCGTTTGCTCGGAAATTAACTTGATACTTTATCGTAACTGTCAATCCACTGTCGAATATCGATGGGAATTATCTGTTAAATAGGTGGCTAATCTGGTTGAGGTGAAGATGAGAAGTTTATTCGCCCGTTGTGATACCGTGAGTACAAATTTCAGGAATTTAGGAAATTCAGAACCTTGATATACCAAAATGAAATTTCAAACATAAAAATTCAAGTCAACATAGTTCAAGCAATACCTACGATTGAAAACCGTAAATTATAATAAATAACCTACAATGAAAAAATATACTATCATAAACCCAATGACTAATCTAACGTGTGCTTCCGTACTATTCTCCTACACCTGTTCAAAGTAATGAAAAACGATTTACGTGTGACAGACGTAGAACTCCCAATAAGAAGCTCTTTAATGTTCCAGCCTCTAAATGCTAGGATTTATACCGGATACTAGTAATATCCCGAACAGAAATATGGAATGCAAGAGGCTACCGTGCAGCAACGCTCGGGTCATTCAATGAAGGAAAACAATGGAGGGCTTGATTTATAGGGGTATTACCGACAACCCACGTACATGCTTAGATCTACATATTATACCAATATTCTCGATGTTTACTGGCCAAGCATTACCGCTATCCGCGCATACGATGTGATTCATGTGAGTCTTCTTGCTACATCTTCCGCAACAGACTGCTACGTTGTCCCGCAGAAACATTCAAGATTTTAAGGAATTTCGTGGCGGTAGCTTCAATGAAAATAATTCTTGACCGCTTTGCGTATGATGTGCCATAGCGTGGCAAATTTTAGATAATTTTTATTATTTCAAAATAATATTGTTTACGCGATATGACGATAGTTTGCGAAATGCTGCTATTTGGACATTTGAAGATGGATATTTGGAAATTTGGGGAATTTTTAGATTTGGGGCTTGAGATTGTAGGTACTGAGATTTGGAATTTGGGGATGTTGGATTTGGGATTTGGAATTTGGAGGTT